GCCCGCCACAACGCCCGGCTATTTTTTGGTTGCAGCCGTCATTGTTGTTTGGCGGGTCTGGGCTGGGGATTCGAACCCGCCACCTTAGGTGTACGAGGCTGGCGCCTTAGCCGGTTGAGCTATAGGCACCGAGCCAATTCATTGACTCTTAAAACGTTAGGTATTTCCATTCAGAGTGAAAGAGCCAAGAAATAACTTCTCAGCTGATTCTAGAAGGGACATGTGGTGGATGCTGAGTTGAATGGCACAGGTCCTCTTCTTTAGGATTGATGGGCTCATTCCCCTAACCACCAGGGATGTGGCCTGCTGATGGCTCATAGTTACATCTCTCTGCGGAACTGTTCTCAGATACAGGGAACTGCCTCACTGAAGTTTACCCTCTCATACCTCCGGGACAGCCTATATCTAGCACCTAATCTATAAGAGGGATACAGAAATCTAATCCCCTCATCCCAATCTGGATCTTTGAAGGACCATCCCAACTTCAGAGCCCTTGTGGTATTGGCCCTTCAGTGAAGTTCTCCCTCTGCCCTGTCAGGTTTTCATTTTCTCACAGGTGATCATTCCTCAGAGCACTTCTTAATAACTTCCAGGAAGCAAATCTCCATTGCACGGTCTATTTTTCAGAGAACCAACCTAAGACAGCTGCTATCAGGACTAGACCAAGAAAGCAACTCAAAAAAGGGATTTGGAGTCCAGTGATACGGAGATGGTTTATAGAACATAGTGTTCCAGGAGTAAGATAGAGGGGTAATTAACAGGGTATAGCTTAAACAATCAAAATAAACTGAAGATGGAAAAGAAGCTGAGGACTTTACCCCACACAAAATCACAATCTCTGACTCACTTTTCACGTCTAAGCCAGTTTCAAGTCCCAGAGACTACTACTTAAAAAAGGGTGGATCATCCTAGAGGTAAGGCCCTATGACACCAGAAGGTACATGTATATGGTAGTGACTCTCCTAGTCCTTCCCCAGAGGGCGTATGGCCATTTCTTCAAGTAATTGTATGCTGGGGAAAAGGGAATATCCAGGCACTTTAAGGACTGCTGGATACAGGTCTGAGCTGTAATTGATACCTGAAAATTTAAAGCATCATCATGGCACCAGGCATATAAGAACCATGTGATAAATGGAATTTTGGCCAAGGTTCAGTTAACAGTGGGTCTATTGGATCCAACAACCAGTGGTTGTTTTCCAAGTTCCCAAATGTATAATTAAAATAGATATACTTGGTCTCAGCACCTGTATCTCAGGGAATAGGGCACTAGCCATGTACACCACAGCTGGCAGGGTTTGAATCCAGCCTGGGCCTGCCAAACAACAATGACAACTACAACCAAAATATAGCCAGGTACTGCAGCAGGTGACCATAGTTCCAGCTACTTGTGAGGCTGAGGCAAGAGAATTACTTAAGCCCAAGAGTTTGAGATTGCTGTGAGCTGTGACGCCATGGCACTCTACCAAGGGTGACACAGTGAAACTCTGTCTCAAAAAAAAAAAGACAGACAGACATACTTGGTAGGTGGCAGGACCTCTAAATTAGTTTCTTGGTCTCTAGGGTAAGTGAAAGCCTTTGAAACTGCTCCTTTATACCCAGATAGTAAAAAAGAAGACTTTAAGAATGCATCAGCAGAAGTCCTTATCAAATCCTCATGTCATTCGTCAGTATGACCTCCACAAAACCAGGTGGATTCTGGAGGATAACTTTTTTTTTTGAGACAGAGTCTTACCATGTTGCCCCTGGTAGAGTGCCATGATGTCACAGTTCACAGCAACCTCAAATTCTTGGGCTTAAGCGATTCTCTTGCCTCAGCCTCTCAAGCAGCTGGGACTACAGGTGCCCACCACAACGCCCAGCTTGGAGGACAACATTTTTTTTTTTCAGACAGAGTCTCAAGCTGTTGCCTTGGGTAGGGTGCCATGGCGTCATAGCATACAACAACCTCTAACTCTTGGGCTCAACCAATCCTCCTGCCTCAGTTTTTCTATTTTTACTTTATTTTATTTATTTATTTTTTGAAACAGAGCCTCAAGCTGTTGCCTTGGGTAGAGTGCCATGGTACCACAGCTCATAGCAACCTTCAACTCCTGGGCTTAAGCGATTCTCTTGCTTCAGCCTCCCAAGTACCTGGGACTACAGGTGCCCACCACAACTCTTGGCTATTTTTTGGTTCTAGTTGTCATTGTTGTTTGGCAGGCCCAGGCTGGATTCGAACCCTCCAGCTCAAGTGTATGTGGCTGGCACCTTAGCTGCTTGAGCTACAGGTGCTGAACCAGTTTTTCTATTTTTAGTGGAGATGGGGTCTTGTTTTTGGCTCAGGCTGGTCTTGAACTTGTGAGCTCAAGCTATCCATCTGCCTAGGTCTCCCAGAGTGTTAGGATTATAGGCATGAGCCACTGCGTCCGGCCTGGATTCTAGAGGACAACAGCAAACTACTACCAAGTAGGTCCCAATCTCAGTCACTGTGCCAGACATAGTATCTTTGTCAAAGCAGATTAACTTGGTCCCAGGTTCATGGTATGTATGGCCACTGATTAGGTAATACTCTTGTCCATCCCTCAAAGGACCAGAAGCAGTTCACATTCATGTGAG